TGTTTCCAGGTTTTGAATAGAACCTTTTAAAAACATTTAGTGGTTGGGTGCGGTGACTCACGCCTGTAATCCCAGCACTTTGGGAGGCCGAGGTGGGGGGTCGCTTGAGGTCAGCAGTTCAAAAACAGCCTGGCAACATAGCAAGACCCCATCTCTCCAAAATACAAAAAAAAAGTTGCTGGGCATGGTGGTGTGTGCCTGCAGTCCCACCTACTTAAGAGGCTGGGGTGGGAGGATCACCTGAGCCTAGGTATTTGAGGTTGCAGTGAGCTATGATGACACCACTGCACTCTGGCTCAGGCGACAGAGCGAGACTCTATCTTTACAAATAAATAAAATTAACTTAAATTAAAAATTTACATACAAGTTTTTGAGATAGACTACATTTTAAGATTTCACAAGGATAGGATTATGCCAAAATAAAGCATTGTTCTGAAAGCAAAATAGAGAATCAAAGTGTGATTACTTAAACAAATTTTTAAAACATAGCACAGAGTCACAGATGAAAGGGAGAAAACATATGAATATAAAGAAGGAATGCGTATTTTAATAAGGTATTCAGGACTACAAGGAAGTATAGGGCAGGTGTAACAAAAGAGAAGGAATAATATTGATCTGAAACTCTACAGCCACCCCAGTAACTGCTGAGACCACCACAGCATGTATGCCCACCTCATCCTCCACCACAACATCTGTGCCCACCGCAGGCTTCAGCACGGCCTCTGACGAGACCACCGCAGCCTCGCGGACCACTGCAGAGTCTGTGGCGACAATGGGCTCCACATAGCCTCTGGAGCACCTTGACCTCCACCACAGAATCCATGCCCACCACAGCCGCTGCTACAGTCACTGAGATCACCACGCCCTCCATGACAATGTCTGTGCCCACCCTGACATCCACCACAGCCTCTGAGACCACCCCAGCCTCTGAATCCACCACAGTCCTCACTGCAGCATCCGAGAGCACCTCACTCTCTACCACAGTGCCTGTGCCCACCACAGTCTTCTCCATGGCCTCTGAGACCACCACAGGCTCTGAGACTACCCTGGCCACCCCACAGATTCAGGGATCACTGCAGGGTCTGTGACCTCATTAGCCTCCACCAAAGACTCTGAGATCACCACAGCTTCGACTATAACCGCTGTGCCCACCATGGCCTCTACCTCAGCCTCTGCAACTACTGAGGCCTTCTCCATGGCCTCTGAAGCCACCATATCCTCCTTAAAAATGTCCATGCCCACCACATCCCCGGACATCACCCTAGTGTCCACTATGGGCTCTGAGGCCACCACAGCCTTTGAGACTCCCACTGCCTCCATGACAGTGTCTGTGCTCACAGCAGCCTCCCCCTCAGCCTCTGAGGCCACCACAGCCTCCACAGCAGCATTTGAGCCCAGCACGGCTGCTAACATGGCCTCTGAGGTCACTTCAGAGTCTGGCAGCAGCCTGGCTTCCGTCGCAGGCTCTGAGAGCACCACCCCACCCACAGCACCATCTGTGACCACCGCAGCCTCCCCCACAGGCCTGAGACCATCTCGTCCCCCATGGCCTCCTCCTCAGCGTCTCAGCTCACCACAGACGTGTCCACCTTTACTCTGCCCGCGACCACCAGCGCCCTGGCGTCAGCCTCCGCCCTCTTCGTTCTGAGCATGCCCAGCTCTAGCCCAGATTTCACCCACTTCTGACCCAGGCACCGCCACTGCTACCTACGCCGCCACCACCGCCACCACCCCTGCCATGCTAGACCCCATCACTTGGTCTGAGCCCACCTCCTCCTGTCCCTGTGGCCTGCCTTGTGCCCTGGGGTCAGGCTCTTCCACGCCTGTTCCAGGCACAGGCACCTTGACTTTGCTGAGCGCCACAGTCCTGTTAGATGATGTCACCTCTGTTCCCAGCCACTGCCACCGCCACACCCATGAATGAATCTGATTCCATCATCTCCCCTCCAGGCCTTCCTTACGCCCAGCGGCCATGGTCACAGGAGAATCAGGGCCTGTCACTCTGTATCCCAGCCCACCCACCTCTATCTGGGTGCCGCTTCCGCAGATGATGGGATCTGCTACTTCTGTGTCCGTCACAGTCATGTTTCCTCAGCCTTCTGCCTCCAGCGTCCCCAACACCACATGTTCTGCCTCCTCTCCATGACACTCTCCTCTATTCTGGGGACCATGGCCACAGGCGCGTCACTTTCCACCCTCTCGTTTCCCCACAAGCCCTCTCCTGAGCGCCCAACACAGGCCTGTTAGTTCAGCCCCCTCTGCCCCAAGGGCCCCGCTCCCCTTCAGTTGTCTCCGCCACAAACGCATCTGTGTGGCCTGTTTCCTGTTTCCTGGGCAGCAGCACCACTGGAACTGGACCTCCCTGCCCATCTCTGTCACCATGGCCCCGGGAATGGACTCCACGACCTCTGCTGCCAGCCACCGTGTGCCTGGAACAGCCCTGAGTAGCCCCGGCCCAGGCACATGCTCTATTGGAGCATCACCTGCCACCCCCATCCCAGGAGTCAGGGCCACACAGCATCTACCCCTGAGTCGCCCAGCACTCCTGGGGTCAGGACCACCTCCCATGAGACAGGCCCCGCGTCCACAGGCACAAACACAGTTAGTGTGAGACACAGGTCAACAAACGTGGCCAAACCGTGTGGATGTTTACAGCCCTGGGGCGTCATCCTCATTTCCCCGGTGCAGTCGCGGCTGGTGCTGGGTGGTTGGTGGGGCTGAGCCTTTGTCTGCTGAGTCTCTAGGCTGGGTTAGTAGGGGGCCTGGCGAGAAGGCAGATCCCTTCTGCCATGAGAGGGGAATTCATGCAAGTAGAGCTTTTAGGACACCCAGAATGAGAGAGGAGAGTAAGTTGGTGTGCTAGGAAGAAAGGAGTTTTGTGGCATGATGTTGGGGCCAGAGGGAGTTAGCGAGTGAGAGAAAGTGAGAGGGAAGTAGAGAAAGAGGACAGAATAGACGACGTTGAGGCCAAAGCAAAGGGAAATTGTGCAAACAGGGAAAATGAGAAGAAAGTATTTAAAGAAAATCGTGTCTCGTAGTAAAACAAAATCTGGAAGTTAGAGTATTTTAGCACAGGAGGAAGGATCTCCAGGTACACACACGTTCCAGCGCTCGCTGTCCCTGGGGCGTCTTCCCTGGCGGTGCTTTTGCGTTAGTAACGTTGTATACTCTTTTTCCGGTTCCCCTCAGGTCAGCTGACCAACTGGACATGTCAAAACATTTCACTAAATACTAAAAGAGAACAAGAGGGATGTCAACATAAAGAAAGCAAGAAGCATAAACATGTTCCGCCGTCCAAAGTGCCGCTGACTATCTTCTACCTGCCACGTTTCGGTCCCCACAGCACTCTGCGATTGCTTGTCTGTCTGTGACAGTCTCTGCTCTCTGGTCTTGATCTATCTTTGAATACATATTTTTCTCATACTGATTTCTCTTTTATTTATGTTTTTCCTGTTCTCTTACAACCTTGTTAGTAAGCTCACATTTGAGGCACGAAGCAGAGTCTAAACTGGTGGTGTACACGAGAGCTGGGCCGTGCTGGCCCTGGAGAGAGCGTGCAGCTCTTCCCAATTCTGAGCTTAGTGGTGTGACGTTGGTAGCTTAATTGTGCTGTGGTGGAAGTATTTACACCACAGAATTTGCAAACACTATAAATCAGGACTTGTTCCCTCTCGAGAGCCAACAATTAAGTGTTGAACAACATACCACCGGTAAAAATGGACAAACAAGTGCAAAACCTCACTACAGCCACAAAGGGTTGGCATGATATGGTCCATTTACCAAGGTTCTGCATCTCAGACTCTCAGCCTCCCTCCATATGTAGGCTGAAAAATAAAGACCCACCATCTTGGAATTACATCTTAAATTGCTTTATAATTTTATTTGAAAGATCAAGAGATAATAATGAAAACAAATATTGAGTTTTTACCAAGTGCTGGGCTCAAGGCTGAATGTTTAAGATGCATCGTGTCATTTATGTTTTGGGGTTCTTTTTCTTTTTTGAGACAGGGTCTCACTCTGTTGACCTGGATAGAGTGCAGTGGTGTCATCATAGCTCACAGCAACCTCTAACTTCTGGGCTCAAGTGACCTTCCTGCCTCAGCCTCCTGAGCAGCTGGGACTATAGCTATATGCCACCACACTCAGCTGATTTTTCTATTTTTTGTAGAGATTGAGTCTTGCTCTTGCTCAGGCCAGTCTTGAACTCCTGACTTCAAGCAATCCTCCTGCCTTGGCTTCCCAAAGTGGATTACAGGTGTGAGCCACCGCGCCCAGCCACATCGTGTCATTTAGTGTGTTGTACAATCCCACCTCCGTGGGATATTGTAATCGTTTTGCAAGCGAGGGAGCTGGAGCTCTGTGATCTTGGCTATTTGCCTAGCACATGCAGTGAGTGGCAGATCCAGGACTTTAACACAGGACGGTTTGATCCTGAGGTCATGCCTGTCATCTCGAGGTTCTGCATGGACAGCTTTCTGAGGGCTCTCAGCTCCACACTCCTGACCTTCCTCAGGTGACTAACAAAGTGACAGACTACCTTTCAGATGAGTCTCTGTGCCTCTCCCAGAAGGATGTGGTTCACCTTTGTCTCCAAAGTCCAGAAACACATGACCCATGATCTGCAGAGCAAGGGCCGGAGTGTTCACAGAAGGGGGATATATTAATAAGGTAACAGGGAAGGCTATTTTCTCAGAGAGAAAGAGAATTAGGAGAGGACAGGTTCAAAGACAGAGATCACAGTAAGAATGGCAGTGACGAGAATGGAAAAGGGCAGCGTGGACAAGCAGAAATTCGATGCTGCTGCAACAGGAATGTATAGTGAGTGATAAGGGAGAAGAAACTTAATTTTTATAATTTTTTTTTCTTTTAGAGAGACTTTTTCTTCCCCCTGAGAAATAATGGTACTTATTACCCCCATCACCACAGCCTTGGCCTTGGTCTGAACCGGGACCCAGGCCTGGGCTCTGGAATGTTCCACAGCCTGGGAAATGAGCTGGTCCATGGAGGTGGACTTGAGATTGGACATGAAGGAGCATGTGGCTTTGGACGTGGCGTGGGCTGTGAGTCGAGCCAAGGCCATGGAGATGGTTATGGAATCAATCATGGCGGGCGTCCTGGACACGCAGGAGGCCACAGCTATAGCCATGAAACGGATCACAGAGGAGGCCGTTGAGGAGGCCATGGAGTGGATCACAGGGGAAGCCACAGAGGAGGCCACAGCAGGACACGATGGCTGTGGCTGTAGACTGGATAGCAGAAAATATCGTGGGCAAAGAAAGCTGGAAGTGGGAGGGGTCAGGGAAGAGAAAGAATGAACGATAATGGAATGTTACAATGGAGCGTAGAAAGGTTCCAGGGATGTGAACCACAAAGAGAGACGTGACCAAGGTCAAGAAAAGAATGAGCAAAAGGATGGCAGAGCCCTTGATCAACACCAGGAAAGACCAAGCAGAGACGGGTCTGAGGGAGAGGCATGGCTTTGCCTGGTGTGGAGATGACTCAAGCCGAAGCTGGGCGAATTCTTGCTCGGTCTCGGGCTCCGTGGTGGGGTCTCGCGCTCGGCTTCAGGGCGTCTTCCCTCCACCTCCCACCCGGTCACTGCCACGGTTTCTCATCCTTGTGTTTCCTCAGGATGCCGTAATGTTACCATGACATCTGTAAGAAACAAAACACAAAACACAGGAAGAGCATATTTTCGGGACCATATGCTTACTTGTTTTCCCATTTGTGCTTTCAGTTTTCCTTGTGAAGTGTTTTATGATTTTTTTTTTTTTTGAGTGCTTACTTGTACCAATCACTGTCCCAGGAGCCTTTAAATGCATCCTCATTTAATCCTCAAAATATCCTGGGAGGAAAGTAGCTTTATGACCTTGAGGTAGGCAAAGATGTTTCAGCAAGACACAAAAAGCACTGGTCATAAAAGAAAGTCTGACGATTTAGACTTCGCTGAAGTCTAGTAGCAGCGTATACCTTTGGGAGAGTGGGAAGGAAAGTCAGACGGGAGAAGGTATTGCGATGCATGTGTCTGACAAGGGACCCCTACCCAGAAAGTGACAGGCTACAGCTCAACCAGAAAAAGACAATGCAATTTAAAAATGAACAAAATATTTGATAAATATTTAACAAAAGAAGATACCAAAATAATCAGTGAACATTTGAAAAGGTGCTCAATATCATTGCTTATCAGAGAAACGGAATTTAAAACCACAGCGAGGTATCACTACACATGCACACCACAATGACTAGCGTTTCAATGACTGACAAATTACTGGCGAGGATGTGGCACAGTGGAATCCTCACACGCTGTTAATGGAGGATAAATGGATATGGCTGTTGTGGGAAAACGTTTGGCAACATTAAAATTAAACACACATGTACCCTAGGACTCAGCAATTCCACTCCTGAGTACACATGAATACATACAACAGAAATGAACGCCTGTGTCCACCAAAAGACACGTACCATAGCTCTTTATTCATAAGAGTGCTGAGCTGGAAACCACCCCACAGCCCACTCACATTGGAGTGGGTGAGTAGATTAGACATATTCACACAATGGAATGTTACCCAGTAGTGAAAATAGAATGAGCTATGGACTCAGGCAATATCATTAATGAACCTGATAGTCAATGTTGAGTAAAAGAAGTCAAAACAAAAGAGTACACACTGAGTAATTCATTCACATGCATTTCAAGAACACACGAAATTAATCTGCTGTGATAAACGTCAGCGTCTTGGGTGCCTTTGGGAAAGGCCAGGAGAAGGCATGCAGGAGCCTTCTTGGAGGTGGGGGGTGGGTGGATAAGAACGTTCTGTATTTTGTCAGGGTGGCGATTGCATGGCATACGCATATGTAAGACTTCATTGAAATGTGCACATAAGATTTGTGCACTTTAGTGTGTGTAAGTTATACCTCAATTTTAAAAATGAGAAAAGTATCCTCTGGGACATTTTTCTCACAGTATTATGATTTCCTTGGTCAGCAGATGTGGTTGGGGACACACAATGATAAATAAGGCATTGGTGTCACACAGTGGGGCCAACAGTGATCTCTGCCGTTAGCAGGTTAGCACTCAGCAGGGGCGTATCTGCCTGGATCAGCCTGGTTAGGGGAAGGTCATTTCACTGAGCCGCGCGTGCCCTCCATCCCCACCTCCATGTCGCTGTATCCACGAGCCTATTGAGCAAGCACCAGAGCAGCTGGAGAGAGATTGGCTGACGCCCACAGAATGGGTCACCTCACCAACCGATCATTGAAGACCTCCTCTGCAGTGAGTGCCCACTGGTGAATGGTCACATGGGGCACAAATACTGTCACCACCTGTGCCCTTCCCAAAAGACGTACACATTCCTCTCTCCTGACTTCAATCCACCATAGTCTTCCCCTCCTGAGTCATCCAGCCAAACTGCCAGCCGCTGCCGACAGATCAGGGCGCCCCGGAACTGCGGTCATCTCGTTGCCCAGGCCGTCAGTAAGCGGGCGCGCTGCTCAAAGCTCTGCTCACTGGGAGGGTTTCCTTCCCCACTGTCCTCCAGGGCTGCCCTGTGTGGTGCTGTAAGGCGGCAGCAGCCCACTCTGGGGGTGCTGGTGGAACTATCTGCAAACCGGATGAAACAAATCTTTCCTTTCTCTGTCACCTGGACGTGGGGACTCTCCTGGTGACTGTGATTACGGAGGGAGAGGTCGGGATGCAGGTGGAGTGGATGCCAGTGGAGTTGGAGCCGCCTACTCATGCCTCTCACTTGCTCCTTGAGGACCTGATTGGGACCAAATTCATAGATGCCACTTCCTCTCAGGGAGGTGAGTGCTGTTAAGTATACCCAACCTCATAGTTTGGTGGTGCAGACAACACCCAGTTCATAAAGCGCAGCTTATGTTTCACGAATCCTATATACTGAGGATCCAATATAAGCAGATGCGCATGGAAAGGAGGAGACATGGAAGACGGCATGCCGGTGCCCCAAAGCTCTGGGGTCTGTGCTGTGCTTCTTCCATCAGGGCCACCCAACATCTCCATACAGCATCCTGATGCGACACAGATATTACTTTTCTTCTTTTTTAAAATT